AGAAAGCTTACTACCTCAAATAACAGGAAATGTAGAGCAAGAGCACCTCTGAGCCTGGCTGACCCACAGGTCCAGTTCTCAGTTTTCTCCTTCACCTCAGCCTTGTCCAGCTGTTCATCCTCAGTGTCCCCGACACGGGAGGAGCTGATGCGACTCAGGATCTCTCACATCCATGGCTTGTGCATTTGTCTCACCCTGCCCCTTGGAGCTTGCTTCAGCCTCTCATTTTCTGCCCAGCTTCAAAGGAGTTTCCCTCTGAAATCCTTGCCGTTCCCCAGTCTCCTTCATGGATTCACTCAGACCAGACTCGGTGCCTTCTTTCTACCATCCTTCGCCCTCCTTGTCATCTGTCTGCCCTCTTCGCCTCCTGTCTTCTTTTTTTCTTTTTATTTATTTTTAATGTTTTTAGTACAAGGTCTACAGGGTCTCACTACACAGATTGAACTCACAGTGATCCTCCTGTTTTTAGCCTCCCAAGTGCTGGGATTACAGGTGCGCACCACCACACCTAGTCTCAGTCACTGTCTCAGGTGGAGCTGGAATGGCATGCCGGGGATCGAACCAGGGTTGAACCCAGGTCCCTGTGTCTGCCTAAGCAGGCACTGTAATCCACTGAGCTATTTGGCCAGCCCTTCCTCCTGTCAACACACATGCCTACCTTATCTGTCCTGTCCCCATGGAAGTATCATTCCTCAGGGATGACTGGCACATTTACAGACCCAGCATGTCCAGCCCTGACCTATCCACCAGCTCCATACTTGCAGCGGCAATGGGCTGATCTATACTTGCAGAGACACTGTGCTGCGATGTCAGCAGGCTCTCTGAGCTCCATGCCCCAAGCTCTGCTTCCTCTTCCACTGACCTTCAAAGCTGCTTCTCCTTGCCTTAGGCTCCTCTCGTCTACTAAAAGACTCATAATGCACTGGAGTCTTTCTCCAGTCTGACTTGGAACTGGTCTGAATGCCCGAAAGTCCTGGCACCTCTTCTCTGAGAAATTTCATTTCCGCCCCCTGCTCTTCACTTCTAGGTCCACACTGAATCAACTCACTGCACTCCTGGGTAGTGTGATGCTGTCCTATTGTCACCTTCAGCACAGAGGCCAGAGTGATGGAAATATATGAAATCAGATCATCTCACTGCCTTGTAGAAACCCCTTCCATGGCTTCCTGTTGTGAGCAGAGCAAAATTGAGGCACTTCATAACAGCCTAAATGGTTTACCACATCTGGCTGTGAATTTTTCAGGTCCCATCCAATGAAATTCAAGTCCCAGGCATACTGACCCACTGCCTGTCTCTGGAAACGCAGGCTTGCTCCTACCTGGGAGCTATCAAGTTGCTGTGCTCCCTGAATTTTGAAGGGTTTAGCCATTCAGATCTCAGCTTAAGGCCTTCCCTGGCCACTTAGTCTAAATTGTCCCTTTCCACATCCACTCTGTACCTTTCACGTTGTTCTACAGCTCATTATTTTAATTATCTTTCCATCTGTTTCTAGGCTGTACCCACAAGGGAGGCAGGATCCCTGACCTTGCTTACTGTTCTTAAATAAAAGTTATGAGAGGCTGTGGTTTTTGACAGAGTTCCTGCCCTTGGCCTAGAAAACCAGAAAGAAAACAAATCAAACAAACAAACAAACACCAAAAAAATCCCCATGGAACTCATGACAGTCAAAAATTATGAGACCTGGGGATAAAACACCGTCTAAGACTCAGTTTTCCCTACAGTGATCTGCAACACAGATCATTTCTGCGGCCTTAGAAAGTGTGGGGAATTCTCCTGCACAGCAAGCAAGCGTTTCTGCAGCAGACACCAGCTGGATGTCCTGTGATCCAACTTTGTCCAGGTGCTTTCTACCCAAAGGTAACAGCAGATCTCCAGGACTGAAGGCTCAAGGCAAAAGGTTGCTCCATTCCCTACCCTAAGAGGCGGGTCATCAACTCTAGATTGTTCTCTGTGTGTCATAAGTGGGCATTCCCACGACCTTCTCCTGGAGTTCAGTTGACTTACTTGAACAGAATGCAAGGAAACACTTAGGTTTATCAGTTTATTAGGAGGGATATGACAGGACAGAGATGAAGACACGTCTGGATATGTAGGGTTCTTTTACGTCTTAGGTAGCTAGGGAGAAACGGCAGTAGGAATGAGGAAACATAAATACGACAAGAGCTGGGTCAGGTGGCGGTCACTGGCTGTTTGGCAAAGATCCCCAGAACAACAGTCAGGGTGTTTATTTATACCTTTGCAAAGTTAGTATCATGTGACACAAGTTTGCCTAGTGACTAATAGCTGACATTCACTAGGCAGGATGCCTTTCCCAGCACTGAGCAGCTTTAGGCACTGTGGCCTTGTCCTGCCCTCATACACACCACCGATTTCCCCCTTCAGCCACTCCCAGCTTCTCTTCATTTTGGTTTTGTTGTGTAAATGATGAGTGTTCCACTGCAGTTGGACAAGCTGTGTTTGAAGAACACTTTGGAAGACCTTTTCCTTCTTGATACCAGTCCAAGGATTTTGGTAACTGTATAGCAGTTTAGCCCTGTGTAGTCCAATAGTCCATAACAGTAGTGCGTTACCAGTACAGCTAGCAATTGTCAGAAGGTGTTAGTGATTTGAACCTTTTACAGTTTAGCATATTATTGTTGCAGCACTTTTCATATCTCATGGTTACACTTTCCTGCTGGATGATTAAGACCGAGTTAAAGCAAAACATGTATAAATAAAAAATTAACTTTTTGCTATCTGAAAAGTTCAGTTAAATCTCCTCAGGATTTGGAACTAAGTACAGCACTTCCAGACCTCTGTCAATGTCGGCCATCTGGATGAGTTATGGCCCTTGCTTGACCAAGTTGTTTTCTGTGAAAGCTTGAGAGATGTTTTCTCCAGGTGGCCCTCATTTGGCACACCATGTGCCATGGAATCACCTTTCTCTGTGATCACATAATTTCCTTGATCAGAAAATTAGGGACTCAACAGAGTTACAAGATGTCATAGCAGAGGTTTTCTTATGTCCTGAGTCCTCAATAACCTTGGAGGACAGGGACAAAAGTTGGCTATCCTTCTATCCCACTCCATCTCTCTGATTTTTGGTCTCCAAACTTTGGTTGTTAAACATCCAGAAGATGATCGCATTACCCTGTAATGAAGGTAGTAAGCTTAACATTACTATCTATCTAAATATCAAACACCTTAGACGTACAATGGACCCATTATTTTTTAACTACCATGGATATTCTAATATTTAAATTCCTATAGAATGTTGACAGATAACTCACAATTTTAACACAGACATTTAGAAATCAAAGACATACATAACACTGTAGTGTGACAATCTCAATGACATTTTGTGGCATACTTAAATTTTCATTTTGATATAATACAACCCCTTTAACCAATCATCATTATCTATTTATTTTATTTTATTTTACAACAGTTATTTTTATTTTAAAGAAAAAAAAAATAAAAACAATGGTACAAAATCTCAAAACAAGATTTTAGGAGAGTAACAATGGTTAGTACATTGTGTATTGTTACTGCCAAAGTAGTTT